CTACATCAAATTCTTCGAGTTATCGGAGTGGTGTGAGATTGAGACGGACCGAGATGAGAAGTTGGCCATGAGGTTCCTTCGCGGTCTCCGATACACCATCCAGGAGGGAGTCTCCTCAGCTGACATGGTAAGCCTGAATGCCATTAAACAGGCTGCCCTGAGGAAAGAGAACCTGGAGAAGGCCAAGAGGGAATCCTGGAAGGAGAGGCCAGGTGATAGGAAGAGGAAGGCTTTTGTCCAACCGAGTCACTCGGCCGGTTTCACCCAGCAGACCCGAAGGGGAGGGCAATACGATCCCAGGCCGAGGGTGACATATTCAGCTCCACCGACCAGGACGGGACCCGCTGGGTATCCACCATGCCCGACCTGCGGGAAGATGCACTTTGGGCGATGTAATAACTTGCCTCAAGGTAGGATCATCTGCTTTGAGTGTGGCCAGGCTGGTCATACCCGACCACAGTGCCCACAACTCGCCCGAGCACCAGCACCATCAGTGGGATCTGTTCAGGGCCCGAGAACCCCATCGGCTGGAGTTTCTAGGGGAGCATCAAGGCAGGGAGGACGTCCTAGATCTCGAGGACCTGGAGCTAACTCCTATCCAAGGGTTGGACAGAGTCAGCAACCCATGGGACGGGGAGCGGGAAGCCAGAATCAGGCGGGACTACGCGCTTTGACTAGAGATGCAGCGGAGGCCGCTACTGATGTTGTCACTGGTATGATAACTTGCTTTGGACATGCTCTATATGCCTTGTTTGACACTGGCTCTTCGCATTCCTTTATGTCCGAGAAATGTGCTAGTAACATGCATATCATATCAACCGAGCTGACTACCCGATGGGGTGTGAAAACACCATTGGGTACTTCGGTGGTAGTTAATCGCGTGATACGCGATTGTGATGTTGTGATGGGAGGAGTAGCATTGAAGGCAGAGCTGATGATTTTGCCTTTCAATGAGTTCGATGTGATTCTTGGCATGGATTGGTTATCCAGTCACGGCGCAGTGATGGATTGCCAAAAGAAGGAAATACGCTTGTCTAGGGATGATGGTAGACATATGATATTCCAAGGGTTGAGAAAACAGAAGTCAACTCCGATGGGTATCATCTCGGCGATGGAGATGTATGCGTTGCTAAGGGAAGGGTGTCAAGCCTTTCTTGTGCAAGTTGAGGTGACTAAAGAAGAAAAGTTGGAGGAAGTACGAATTGTAAATGAATACCAGGATGTGTTTCCTGAAGACCTTCCTGGGGGGCCAATCGAACGGGAGGTAGATTTTAACATCGAGTTAGTACCTGGAACTGCTCCCATATCTATCCCACCGTATCGGATGGCACCAATCGAATTGAAGGAGCTAAAGGAACAGTTGCAGGAACTCTTGGACAAAGGGTTCATCCGACCAAGTATATCACCTTGGGGAGCACCTGTTCTCTTTGTGAAAAAGAAAGATGGGTCCATGCGAATGTGCATTGACTATCGGAGGCTAAACAAGGCGACGGTTAAGAATCGTTATCCACTTCCTCGAATTGATGACTTGTTTGACCAACTACAAGGAGCAACGGTCTTTTCAAAAATTGATTTGAGGTCGGGATATCACCAGTTGAAGGTGGGAGAGAAAACAGTACCGTTGACTGCTTTTCGAACACGGTATGGACATTATGAATTTTTGGTGATGCCTTTTGGACTTACTAATGCACCGGCAGTATTCATGGCTCTTATGAACAAAGTTTTCCATGAATATCTTGACAAATTTGTCATAGTATTCATTGATGACATTCTAGTGTATTCGAAGAGTGAGGAAGAGCATGCTGAACACTTGAGATTGGTATTGCAAACTTTGAGAGAAAAAGAGTTGTATGCCAAATTCTCGAAGTGTGCATTCTGGCTGGAAGAGGTACTATTTTTGGGGCACGTGGTGTCCCGGAGGGGAGTAGAGGTGGATCCTAAGAAGATTGAAGCTATTGTAAATTGGACTCCACCTAAGGATGTGTCGGGAGTACGAAGTTTTCTGGGGTTAGCTGGGTACTACCGTCGATTTGTGGAAGGGTTTTCTAAAATAGCCTCACCTTTGACTAAATTATTGAGGAAGGAAACCCCATACATATGGACGGAAGAGTGCCAAGAGAGTTTTGAAGAATTGAAGCGGAAGTTGACATCAGCCCCAGTTCTGGCATTACCGGTGGACGGAGGTGAATATGTGGTATACAGTGACGCCTCATATCTTGGTTTGGGTTGTGTCTTGATGCAGAACGGAAAGGTGATTGCATATGCTTCCCGACAATTGAGGCCACATGAGTGCAACTACCCAACTCATGATCTAGAGTTGGCAGCTATCGTGTTTGCCTTAAAATTATGGAGGCATTACCTTTATGGTGAAACGTTCAAAATTATGACCGACCACAAGAGTTTGAAGTATTTAATGGATCAGAAGGAGTTGAATAACCGACAAAGAAGGTGGTTGGAGTTATTGAAGGACTACGACTGCACAATTGATTACCATCCTGGTAAGGCAAATGTGGTCGCCGATGCACTCAGTCGAAAGGGAAGGTTGTCAGAATTAGTGGAAATGAGAGCTTTGGGTGTGGAGTTTCAGGTGGAGGACATCACCACCTTAATTGCACACCTAAGCATCCGACCACTACTCCATGATCAAATTAGAGAAAGTCAACAAGTAGATCCTGAGTGTATCGAGAAGTTGAAGCAAGTTGAAGTGGGGGAAGAAAGTGAATTCATGGTGGAAGAAGGCATACTAAAAAGGCATGGTCGTATGTGGGTTCCAGAGTCGGGTGATTTAAGACGAAGAATTCTGGAGGAAGCCCATTCATCCATGTATGCCATGCACCCGGGGGTCACAAAGATGTATAACACGATTAAAACACATTTTTGGTGGCCAGGAATGAAGCGAGAGGTGGCTGAGCATGTTCAAGCTTGTCTAGTTTGTCAAAAGACTAAGGCGGAGCATCGTGCACCGGCCGGACTCTTGCAGCCGCTGCCAATTCCAGAGTGGAAATTTGAGAGGATCACGATGGATTTTGTGACCGGATTTCCTTCTACCCGGGAAGGAAAAGATGCCATTTGGGTAATTGTTGATCGAATGACTAAAGTGGCATATTTTATCCCCATTCGATTCAAGCCAAGTATGGAAGAGTTAGCGAGGTTGTACATAACTCACATTGTACGACTTCATGGTGTTCCTCTATCCATTGTCTCAGATCGAGATCCCAGTTTCACATCACACTTCTGGGAGAGCTTGCAGGAGGCGATGGGTACGAGACTTAATTTCTCCACGGCTTATCACCCTCAGACGGACGGGCAGTCTGAGCGTACGATACTTACTTTGGAGGAGTTATTACGAACCTGTGCAGTGAAAACAGGTGGACCTTGGACGGATTTACTACCGTTGGTGGAGTTTGCCTATAACAACTCCTACCATAGCAGTTTGCAGGCTGCACCATTTGAAGCTTTGTATGGAAGGAAGTGTCGTACCCCGCTATGTTGGGATGTTGAGGGTACTCGAGTTCTTACTGGACCACAAATGGTCCAGGATACGGAGGAGAAGGTGAAGGTGATCAAAGAGAGATTGCGAGTAGCTCAAGATCGCCAGAAGTTATTTGCCGATAGGAAGGCTCGAGAAGTTAGCTATGATGTGGGAGATAAGGTGTTCTTAAAGGTATCCCCATGGAAGGGATTGATGAGGTTTGGAAGAAAGGGTAAGCTAGCGCCTCGTTACATTGGTCCTTACGATGTTATCTCCAAAGTAGGACCTGTGGCATATGAGCTCGCATTACCCCGTGAGTTGGAGAAAATTCACAACGTATTCCACGTGAGTATGTTGAAAAATTATCATATCGATCCATCTCATGTGATACAACCCGAAAGGGTGGAGTTGGAGCCAGATTTGACCTATGAAGAGAAACCTGTGAGCATTGTGGATCATCAGGTACGTGTGCTAAGAAGCAAGCAAATTCCAATGCTCAAGGTTATATGGCGTAATCAGGAGGAGGAGGCTGCAACCTGGGAAACTGAGGAGAGTATGAAGAAGAAGTACCCCGAGTTAGTTGAAGCTTATGCTCAACGTATGTCGACCTAGTACCTTGTGTGTTAGCTCGATATGAGTAGGGTACATTGTAATATATAACCTCTACTGTAGAGTGAGTGAATGAGTATGAAATAAAAATTTCCTAAGCCATTAGGAACTTAATGGACTAGGGAAATTATCATGTCGTCGTGCTGACTTAATCGATGTTTTGGGACGAGCCGATTTCGGGGACGAAATCTAATTAAGAGGGGGAGAGCTGTAACATCCCGAACCACGGATAATTTTTTTTCCAAGTAGCGGACGCATATAGTACGATTCGAGGCTGAAAAAAAAAACTAATTATTATCCTATACGAGATAGGATCCGTGAAACCACTCGGAAACTCACAAACCATTAAAAACCGAAGTAAAAATAAATTGGTGTGTTGCTAGTATCGAACCAGTGACCTCCTGGCAACTAAGGGTGAGCTGACAGCTTAACCAGCTGCGCCAGCTATTACCTGTGTTAATGGAAGCACCCTGCTTGATTTTAACCTTTATTGACTGCGTGCACTGGCAGCAGCTTCATTTATTTAGCGGTGCCTACTGTGGGAACTTGGAAGTTGATCACTACACTTCTGAACCATGAAGGCGGCCTTCAAAGAGCCCTCAATGCACCTACAGAGAGTAAAGAGGGGGGAGGATGAGTTTGAATAGCCTTTAAAGGCTTGGTCACCTCCCTTCATCTTCTTCTTTACTCAAACCCACCATTGGAGGAAACCTCTCCTATATATGTGAATTAGAAGTGAAAGGAAAGAGGGGACAAATAACAAAGGTCTAGCATACTCTCTGTGATCCCATCAAAGTTCAAGAACCCATACAAACCTGATTATAAAGCCCAATCGTCAAACCAACTCAACGGAAATTATTCGCCGGAACTTTTGCCGTAACCTTTTCGTCAGCAAAACCAGCACCATTAAAGGTAGTATCAGCTACGAAGCTTGATACCGTTGCGAAGAGAAAGTCTCCACGAGCATCACAGAGTTTACGGAATCGAATTCCGAGCTCAGACGAGGGAGAAACAAGGCCGGGAAGTTGGTACGCGAGGTAGGAAAATTTCCAGTTTTCTGCAGATTTTGGGACATGCAGAAAATTAACAATTAATCCGTAATTGCGTACTAACGATGATTAGCTCGCAGTTTCTTCGTTTGACGTCCAAACGACGAACCGTTTTCGCCTACAGGACCGTAGAATCAAGGAGAATTTTTAGGAGCCAATCTCTGGAATTTTAGAACTTAATTCCCGACTTGGAATCGGCTAAATTAAGGTGTGTGGGGATTAAGAGGACCTTAATTATTGCATCGATTATTTATGCTTGATTTGCATATTTGGATGGATGGATTACTTTGGGTGATGACTTATTTGTTGATATGATGATTTGGTGATTATTCTTGACTGTTATGGAGTTTACGGTGTAAATATCGGTATTTGACAAGTTTCCCCGTAAAAATGAATAGTTGGGTTTATTGAGTCCAAAAATGATCTAAGAAGTTTTTGTTTGTTCTAAAATGAGGTTGGGGCAGATTGAGCAGAAGATTTCACTTGAAAATGGTTTTCGGATTAAAAACTGCATAACGGTGAATTTTACGAAAAGCTCGGTAAAAACGTGTTTTATTTATCTTTAAGATTTGGATCACTTCAAAATGGTCAGTATGGATTGTTAAATGGGTTGTGGTCTGAAAAGGGTAAATTAGACAGTTAGTGGAGTTTTTATCTTTAAAACGGTAAAAATGAGCTTAATACGAGATTTGCGATAAATACCGAGTGTAATATTATTTTCACGGTTTTGAGCCGTTGAAAAATATAAAAACTGGACAGACCTGTTTTATGATGATAAATGGAGGTTCTTGTATTTTTGGGAGATTTTTGGATTTACCGTTTGGTTGGAATTTAATTTATCGTAAAATAATGGTTAATACGAGATTTTTGATATTTTATTGTCTAAATTGATTTTTATGAACAGAACTAGATTAAATGGATTTTTGTGTCAATAAATTCAGTTACATGAATTTTATGAGGATTTTAATGAAGGAAAGTGAATTTTGAGTTAAGGATATTTTTAACCGCGATCGGGTTATTTGTAATTATTTGCGTTGGCACTATTTCGTGAAATTGTTGATGGAGTTTGGATGAGGAATGGTGATATGGTACTGCTGAGTAGCTTTACTGGAGAATGAAATGATTTATGTGATTCGGTATTGGATGATGAAATAGTTGATTTTTTTTGAAACGTCGAGTTGATAATCGACGGGAAATATATATATATGGATTGGTCAATCCGTGAGACTACATTGATTCCGGATTGATTGTGATGGATGAGAAAAATGGAAATAGTTTGGTTCGTGATCATATTAATTCACGTAGACATAGAAAGGGCCTGCACTTACCCTCACCCCTTAGAGTGGGTAGATTTAGCTCGCTTATGCGATTGAGTGTTGTGGTTGCATGAGCACCACGGATGAGTGTTGTGGTTAAAAACCACGGATTGAGTGTTGTGGTTGCATGAGCACCACGGATTGAGTGTTGTGGTAGCATGAGCACCACGGATGATGATTTGCTCGAGCGAGGGTAAGTGTATGGTGACCTTGGCGCCATTAATAATTAACCGGAATTTTCATATCATGCATTCATTATGTGTTCGTGAAATTAAGTGATTATCTTATTGGATAAATTGATTTGGTGATGATTAGTTGGTGGATTCGATAATTTGATCGGTAATTTATATATGATGATTTAAGATGGCATCTAGAGTAATAATTTATGATTGATTATGATTGTTTGATTAGCTGATTGCGGTCCCAAAATTAGGTCGTGGGAAAGATCCACACACACAGCTTAGTTGCTGACCCACGTCTGTTTTCAGGCTCGCAGGTGCAACTTGGATCGGACTACTGAGGCTGCCCTATCCTTCTGTACTACCATCATGAGGTAGTTTGGAACACTGTTCTGTCATGGTCACCTAGGATTTTTGCTTTGAGTGTTTGAATAATAAACCCACATTTTGTAAAATTCAATAAGTGGGTTGGGATTCGAATAATGAGTTTGTATGATAACGGTTTATGTTTGTGTTTAATTATCGGATATGATGTTTGAGACGATCGAGTTCAACCAGTAACACCGATGATTTGGCTGCGCGGTTGAACCACGGGTTCAAGCATAGAGATTATGGGTGGGGCTCACTTAGTACTCGCTGTTGGACCTTAAATCGAAATCGAGGTATCACATTTCCTCCCCCCTTAAGAAAAATTTCGACCTCGGGACTTGTCCCTCGCGATTTCCCCAAGCCTCGTTCCTTACATTGTCTATCTCGTTGAATGACTCCTCCTTTCCAACACTTGTCGCCGGCTCCTCGAAGACTTGTCGGACTCCTTAAGACCTATTCTAATTCCTCCTTATATGCGCCCATCATTACTCAAAGCCTAACTTCCACTACTCATTGGGTCGTAGCCCTACACTCGATTCTTGTAACCCCATAGATTTTTGGCCGCCACTTACAGTAACTCTTTGCCTATTGCTTGTCGACGTACTACATACTCGACTTCTTCCTGAACCTTAAACTGATTAGCTCGCGTCCCCGTAGAATATGAGCTGCCTTGAATCTCTCTTCTCACTCATGAAGAGGTTTCACTAAATGATCCTCTAAGGATTCTCTTTTTTTTCCTTCCCGAGACGTGTCAAAACCTTGTACTGTCTCCTGGAGTTATTTTCCTAATCATGATTTGAGTATAAACTGGAGATTCTAAAATCCTCAAAAGAACCCTGACTCGTTTGGCCAAACCTTTAACCTGACACCCTTTTTCCTTTCCTTTAAAAACATAAACCTTGAAAAACTCAGATCGTCACTCCAGTATTCCTTGGAGACCAAGAAACAGAGGAGTGCAGGCTCTGATACCAAAATGAAACGTCCCGACCTTTTTCGAAAATCAAACCACAACTCAAACCCAAAACCGGTTACTCCGGAGCAACCCAAACCACATTTTAAAATAACCAACTGACTTTATTTAATAATTTTAAACCAAAAAGCCCCAACACTTGGGCAAAACCTCAATCCCAAATACTTAAAACAACTTAACACATAACCTTGAACTTTGAATCTCCAGTACATATACTCATAACCATAAACATAAAACAACTATCGAACTTTAACTATACTCTTCACCCAGCTCCTTGACATCTCATCATTAGTACTGGCACAACCGCTTGCCTCATCTCACTTCTTCTCGGGATCCACTTCCGCTAACCCATCCTTAACCTGGTGAGTGAGAAGGGGTCAGTCTCGTCGTTACTTCCTAAGGTCTTTGCCCTAGGCAACCTCCTTACTAAGACACGTTATTAGCGTTTCCTTTCCTTAGATGAAAGTCGTTCTCACTTTCATCCTAAAAATTATTTCAACGTTAACTCATAGAAGTTCTCAACTTACATCCTTAACTCAAACACAAACACTAGGACCACCGCGTTACGTCTCGCCGTCTGGTGTCCTACCCTAGTATGCCAACCGCGTTACGTCTCGCCGTCCGGTTGCACACCCAAACTCGGCAATGGCACTGCGTTACGTCTCGCCGTCCAGTCCATGCCCGTCAACTACCGCGTTACGTCTCGCCGTCCAGTAGTGACCACAACATACTCGATCAACTGCTGCGTTACGTCTCGCCGTCCAGCAGTGACCTGACCATCTACCGCGTCCAGTAGTGGCCCAACCGCCCGGGGGTTCAGTTATCATCATCCATACATCACAAACACACACACATATATAGCACAACGCGTGCCTCCACCTTGAGTAGGCGGTGGGATGCCTCACACACATAATCGCGCTTACTTGAAAATTAAATAACATAACTGAATTAAAAAGGCATAAACTAAAAGACCTCGACGGAGATTTTACCCCCTTTACACTCACCTCATTAGCCGACTCTGATCGATCGACACGACTCCTCTTCACTGCCGGATGATCCACGTCATCGTCCGAGATTCCATGCTCAATCATCTCCTTTTGCAAATTCTCCTATTAAGTATTTAGGCAAAAACTTAACTCACTTATCTCCAAGCGTAACTAACCAAACGACCTTCAATTTGGTTAATTTCAATCCCAATCTCCTCCATTTAATTTTTCCTAAGATTCCCCATAAAATTCTGGAAAATTACCTTTTTGCCCCAAACTGGAAAATTACCAAATGATACTCGAAATTCCCAGGTTTTACAATTCGGCCCCAAATTTCCAGAATTGCACAATTCAGTTCTCTAGGCCAATTCCCACTTTCTGATTTAGTCATTTAAGTCCAAAAGGCTTATTTCCAATTAGGTACCCAAACACTTGTCAATTCCAAACTCACCCCAGGCCTGGTCAATTACTTTACGGCGCCTAAACTTCCAAAGGTTTACCAAATTGACCCAGCTTCAAAAAGACATGTACGCCCCTAACTATTCATCAAATTTACAAACCGAAGTCATTGGTTTCCAACAAACTGGGAGCGACGCTCACCTTCATTTCGCCGCCGACGACTCCCGACATCTCCAGGTTCCCGCCACCATCGAGCTCCTCCTTTGGCTCCGGCTCTAGCTCCTCCTTCGGCCCCTCCACCGGCTCGTCATCTTCTTCCTCCTCGAACATCCGCGCTCCGGCAACAATCACCGTGGAAGCTCCGCCATCGCCCTGCCCATCGCTCTTTCTCGGGCCGCAGTTGGGAGGCCAGCTCCGGATTGCAAGAACCCTTGGTCGCTTCGGAGGGTAATCCAGCTGCCTCGTCCCTGCACTGTCTCCCAACTGTCTGCTGGCGACGTCCACACCAGCTCCCGCTACGGCCGCCGTCGAGCTCCTAGGCTTCTTCTTGTTTCCCCGAGCCACCATCCTAGTTCGGATCCATCTTCCTCCTCTGCCTGATCGGTTCGACCCTTCCATTTCGAATTCCCAGCTTGTCGAAATCCTCTGCCAGTCCCCTCTCCCTTGTTCATTCGACATTGATTTAATCCTCTCCCTCACGACGGTTGCTGCGGAGAAATCAATTCCCATCGACCCTCAATTAACTCCCCTTAAATTTCCTATGATTAAAGTTTCTGTTACCCCTCTGTCCCGGCGACCTCTGCTCTCGGTTCGTGTCCCGCCGCCGCTCCGCTTCCCCTTTTTCACTGTTGCCCTGCCTCTTCCGTTTCCGGTCGCATTTCCCAGAGAAGCAAAAGCTTCTTCTCTTTTTTTCTTCTTTTTTTTCCCTTTTCGGGCTCCAGCC